GCCAAGGTCTTCACCGACGACGACCTCGATCTCTTGATCAGAAGGACTGTCGCTATTTGCAAAGCCACGTTTTACAGACCTGACGTCGAGTGTGGAATCAAGCTCTTTGACACCATCATCACCTACGTCCATGTACCCACAAAGTCACTCCATCCTTGCTTACAGGTTCTGAGCGAAATTCATAAGAGAATTCCTGGGTTTCAGGACCAGGCGTGGAATACTTTGAGCAACCTTTTCAAGTCCCACGTTGGCCAGGCTGCGATATCCGTCTTGTTGCATATGCTCCTGGATGGTCCCACGCAGGACAACTTACAGGGTGCTGACAAGAAAAGGCTCGACAGCATGTATACAGGAACTACCCTAGTCCTGCGTCTCCTTCTTTTGGAAAACGGCCGCAATGAACTGCCCAAGGTGCCCATGTCGTTGCTTTTCCCTGCGTTGAAAGCATCCATCCAAAGGCCCAATACCGATCAGGAACAAATCATCATCAGCTTGATAGACACCGTTCTCGATCAAGACGGTATGAGAGACTTACTCCTTGCCGAGAGCGACTTGGGAGACTTGCTCGAGGTAATATGTGTATGTGCTGAGCGTGACGATGACCGCCTTCGCGCCAAAGATGCCAAGACATCAGACACCCTCAGTATCGAAAAGAAAGCCTCCTTTGACAGACAACTGTCTCTTCCCGATGACAACAGATCGAGCAATGGCCGTCCTATGGCCCGACATCGGTTTGCCTCGTACTCGCCGCCTATTGGCGGAATGGAGCACGATGACAATGTAGGACCACACGATCAACGTGCGGCATCACAGCACGAGTTTTCGCGAAGAGATGCTGCAGACGGCATTTTCAAAGTATTGGCTAAGCTAGATCATCTCAGCGACGCATTTGATTTTGTCCAGCGCGAAGCTACTATGAATCTCTTTTTGCGTCTTGCACATCGCGTGAGCGATGCAACGGCAGAGCGAACCATCCGCTACTTTGCAGACGAACGCTATCTCAACCCCTCCAACGAAGATTGGTTGCATCTTTGCCAATGCCTTGTTACAGGCATCTTCAGCGACTCCACCCGGCCGCGCTCACTTCGTACCTTGGTGATACAGGTGCTGCGGGAAACTTACAGCACCGTAGAGTTGCTGTGTGAGGGTGATGCCGTGTTTCAATGCCAAGACCTTTTGCTCAACCGGCTTGAGCCCGAAGACGACACTGAGGTTTTGCAGGAACTCGTAGACTTTGCCCTATACGTTGCTGATCAAGCATCCTTTGATCGTTTTTCCCATGTGGTCCGTCTCTTGAAGAAACGTCTGGATCGCCCGCAGCCTGCACCACCAGTCCCGTCCGCACCATGGCAACCCCATCCATTTTCCACAAAAGACGACGGATGTTCCCCGTGCAATGTAATCACTACTGTCTATGTGCGGCTATTTACTCGTAGCGTTATTCATTCGGCACAGAAGACTCGCCTCCTTTACGAACTGTTACGGGAAATTGCTGGGAGTGACAAATACGCGCATGATGCGCGCCTGACAGCCCTCAAGCTACTGTTCCGTTTGCGTGCAGACGCTCGCTTTGCTCTCATAGTCAACTCTTCATCCGAAGGCCAGAGGATTGCTGCCGAGTTATGCCGCACAGAGGAAACAGCTGTTACTGAACGGAGCGATGAAACTACGCCAGGGGACCACGCTCGACCGGAAGACCATTCCTCCTGGAGGGAGAATCGGAAGACCTCTGGGACTAGTCCCCGTTCTTCCCTCAATCGTCACTCTGGGCGCCTGGTTGCCGCTGCAGGTCGCGTATCAAGGCCGATACCACCTCTATGGATGTATCCTGGTCCGAGGGGCCTCCCCGAAGAACCATCGCACGAATCCAGTCGGGTTGTGTTCTCACACATTGATGCCTCAGAGTATCCTCTCAGCGACAATATCTTGGACATGGAAATCACATTGTGGCTCGAATTGATCATCTCCCTGCTCCAAAGACCACCTGATTGGGAGATATACTCTTATGTCCTCACGCATCTTGGCCCCCAGCTCTCTAACCAAGCATTAGTCCGCAGTTGTGTTGTCCAACTTCGAATGCTACGAAATGTTCTATGTGAACAAGTACGAAACGCAAGCTTCCACGAACCACCACCCCACACTCTTCTCAAAAAGGCTGATGTGGCGGTTTGCCTGTTCCACGCTTTGACTGTTCTCATCAGTTACCATGAGTATTTCGAAAAGAGCGAGGAGGATGATCTGGTCAAAGCATTTTTGCAGGGCATTGTACAGTGGGATAGAACCTCAAAATGGTGCATCCATGCGCTCTCTGTATGTTGTTTTGAAATCCCACTCTCGGTCAGCAAATCTCTCGACAGCATTGTTCAGAAGATGTCGCAAATCATCACGAAGCCAGCTACAGCGATACACATTCTGGAGTTCTTGGTATCCATGGCTCGCCTTCCAGAACTCTTCAAGAACTTTCGTGAAGACGAGTTCAAGCTCGTATTCGGAGTGTGCTTCCGCTATCTCCAACATATCCGCGATCAACAGGGCCGCACGAATGGAAACCCAACCCAAAATGGCCACCGGACTCTGAGGCACAGTGGTACATCAAGGGACTTTGCAGCAACATCAGACGTTGGCGCGACGAAACCAAGAAGCGTTGAGGATGACCTTCCTCAGTACCTGAATTCGCTTGCTTATCATGTCATTACATTCTGGTTCATGGCCTTAAAGATGGAAGATCGGCCAAAACAAATCCCATGGATTACGAAGAACTTGTACTTCACAGACAGCTCTGGCCGCCCGGTCATGGAAGAACAAGGGCAGGTCATTGTAGATATCATGAACATGGTAACATACACGGACCGCGATGAGACGACACACGAAGAATTCTCCGCCAAACCTGGGGATGGCGAGATTTGGAAAAAGACTTGGATCGTGGGCAACAGCATAGTGACAATAGAGACTGCTGCCAGGACCGGCACGTCTCTTGTAACAACGCGCCGACCAGTAAGTCGTCCCTCTCGATTGAACACATCAGACCAGTCTGCTAACTGTTCTTAGTGCGGAACCAGATACATCAAAGTCCGACCACTGCTTACGTCACCCCCACGGCATCAAGTACCCATCACAATTGGTCTTGCTTCCGAAGCATTCTATTCTGACTCTTATGTTGGTATTCTACCAGAAGACATCTTCCAATCCTTCTACGCACCTCTTGACCTCAGCAATCCGCCGATTCCTCTGCCTGACGATGAACCAACACGCCGTGCTATTGCTTCTTTTGACAGAATCGCAACTGTTGACAACTACAAAGTAGGAGTCATTTACATTGGCGAAGGGCAGACAAACGAGCGGGAAATTTTCATGAATGATATCGGATCACCAGCATACACATCATTCCTCAGTGACCTAGGCACCCTCTGTCGCCTGAAGGGTGCCAAATTCAACACTGGAGGTCTTGACACACGCGAAGACATGGACGGCGAGTTCACGTACTGTTGGCGTGATCGCTGTATGGAACTCGTTTTCCACATCCCAACGATGATGCCTACGAACCGCGACGACGAAATGACTTATCCCAACAAGAAGCGGCATATCGGCAACGACTTCGTCAACATCATTTTTAATGACTCCGGCCTACCCTACAACTTTGATACCTTTCCCTCGCAGTTCAATTACGTACATATTGTCATTTCTCCAGAGTCGCGAGCCAGCTTTGTAGATCGCCGGCTGGATGCAGACCCAGAGGGTAGAAACCGGTATTACAAAGTCCAAGCTATTTCCAAGCCTGGCTTCCCCGACATATCCCCTGCTGTTGAGACCAAAATTCTTTGTGGCAAATACCTTGCAGACTACTGCCGTCTGATTGCAATCAACGCAGTAGTCTTCTCTAGCGTATGGTTCATCCGCGAAGGAGGCGAATCAAGCTCGTCCTGGCGCAACAGACTGCGCGAGATCAAACGTCTCCGAGAACGATATGGTGCAAACAATGCTCCACCAAGCTATCCACCACCAACATTGCCACCTGGAGGCCAAGGCCTCTCAAGCCCACCGTCCAGAGAACAGAATTTGGTTTCGCCGTTTCAGCGGCTTAGCATCGCGACCCATGTTACTGATGGCACCAGCCGCAGCTCCATTAGCAGCTCTTCACACGACGTCTAATGTTGCGCACCAAAAGTTGTTTGTTGTTCGGTGTTCAATCGGCATTGAAAAAATATACCCAGGGTTTTGATTACCACACACAAAAGTTTGTTTGATTTTTGTTTGCAAGCGGGGGATGGGGCAACTTCCTGTTGGTGCATTTGCTTGGCGTTGGCGGAAGTGCAACTGCTAGGTGAAAAGTATTATTGCTATGCTAGGCTTGGAATCTACGAAAAAAGGAGGTGATGTAGGAAGTGGGCGAAGTTTTTTCTTGTATCTTTATTCATATTGTACTTGGGGTTAGATATATCCCTAGTGCACTTCTTGGCTCAATTACAAGTCACCACAATATCATGCACAGTTGAGGATCGTCAGTGAAAATTCTCGAGTGTTGAGTTGGAATTGCGGTGCTTTTGATTCCTCAAATTACCTTGGCGTAATGGATCTTAGGCTTGTAATATTGTCATCCAGGGCAGCGTGTGAAGGCAGCCCAGGTGAAGCCTTACGTCGAGTCGGCTGTGGGATTGTGCGCCGCTCTGGTCTCGACTACGGCTAAGCTCAACAATGGTTTCAATACAATCAATCACACTGTCACAGAGGCTTGTAACAAGGTTGCCGCGGACGTCAAGGCCAAAGAGAATTTGATACGCTCGACAAATGCTGGTTACTGGGAGAAGATAGCTCGCGTCCAGGACGATATCCCAGTACTTCTGGCTTTCTTCTGGTCGAGACAAAGACCTATGGACGAGATTCAAACCAGGGCAAAGCAAATCGAAAGCAAACGCTAGAGGATAGTCGACCCATTGGAAGCCCAGAAGCTTAAACTGGAGAAACTTCGCGACAGCGGCATTATCTACAAGAACCAGCACATCTCATGGGTTGGCCTTGTACGGAAACTCAGTGTCCAATTCGGCCGTTTTTGGACGACTCTGAAAGATATACAAGATGAGATCCACAGCGATGTCGCGTTCAATACCGATGTGATCGTCGGTATTTAATGGCCAGAGCTGCTGAGGAATGCACAAGAGGTCTTCTCCCTGCTGAACGTCAACCCTCATATCAACATTTCCGCTGCATTTGGGGACAGCGGCGCCACAGCAGCAAAAACAATCTTTGCGCTCGATGCCCCAAGAGGGGAATATAACGATGTGGGCGCCTTCCAAGGTCAGGTCGAAGATCTTATGCAATTCGCCATACAAGCCCACCCAGTCATGGGGACCCTGTTGGCGGACAGGACTGAGGAGACTCGTTAATTCTTCGACAGTGTAAAAGCTATCATGGTCCTGCGGCATGTGCAGACGCTCAGGGCCTACGATAACACCCATGGGTCGTATTCTTTGCACTCAAGCATGATTGAGACTGTAGCAACGTACGTGCAGACGTTTGGGTCCATTTCCAAGGCTCTAAACTGCATTAGTTCCGCAGCCTTGGTCCAGAGTCGCCGCGTCAAGAGGCTCGAAGACAATCGCATTCTTTGGGAAACTTTCTATACGGGCACGCAGCAAGCCATCATCGACGCCTCGCGATATATTGGTACTGTCAAGCATGACCTCGAGACGTCATACAAGGAGGTGCAGGCACTTTTCCAAAAGATCAAAGATAACCGCAATGCCTTCGAGTTAAAGATCAGGTCAATTGACGAGCTGCTTGCGGCCAAGCGAAAAGGACTCAACAACTACATCTTCCAACTGGCCGCTGAGGCTGCCGCCGTCATGTTTGTGGGTGCGGCTGAAGCCCTGGCCATCGTAAGTGGCCCAGCTGTCGCCTTCAAGGCCGCGAGCACGGTGCTCAAGGGCACGATCCTGGCCACTTTCTCAGATACGCTTAAGTATGGACAGGACCTGTAGAGGCACCTCAGGGAGTCACAGAAGCGCCTCGAGGACTTTGAGATTGAGCGGCTAACTCGCATGGCGGCTGTGGGGAAGCGTGGAGAAATTGAAGCTGCCGTCATGGAGTGGTATATCAAGGAGGTGAACTGTGAGGAAGTTATCAAGGGTTGGGATGCAGTAGACGTTGGGTGCGATGTATGGAATGACATGTTCTATGCGCAGGGGTGTTCATTGCCTGCAGACTTTGAGTTGGAGTAGGAGCGCACAGAATAGCTACTGGAACAGAAGCTCCAAAAAATTCTTTCAGCTTTACAAGTTTGTTAATACAATCTCACATGTGGCGTAAGATTTCAGCCCTTTGCGGCTGTGCGATTTAATCGTGATTGCTGATGTGGAAATCAAACTGTATTCATCCATGTCTATAGTTTATTAGGATATGGTCAAGCCTTAAATATATACCTCGTACTGAGGTTTTTAGAATAACTTCTTTACATAGTAAAAGTAATCAAAATTGTTATCGCTCAGTAATTGAAGGTTTAGTTTTCGCGCGTTCAAGTTCTAACCTTGGAGGGGAATCGTTTCCCGTCAGATCCCCCGCTAGGCTGACTATCCCTACATCACCCGAAATCTTGAAATGACGAAATCACCTCAAAAGTTTGAGCTCCTTTGACTCTTCACCAACAACATGAGTGCACCAAACTTGCCATTCCTATGGCCAGTGCTTTTTAGGCCAGCAAAATCGGCACGTACACATGTCTCTCGAGCAAAGGGAAACGCGCCTCGAACGCGACAAGCACGGCGGCATCTGACCACAACACCATGTCGACTGGAACAACCCAGCACACAGCGATATGGGAAAGCATATGAGCATGCAGCTTCTGGGCAGCAGAAGCCCGCGACACGCGAGACTAAAGAGAAGGGATCAACGACCGCTGGGAAGCCTTCCCAAGACCAAGTTCCCAGCAAAGAAGAAGTAGAAGGCAATGCGCCAGCAGCGACATCCAACCCATCAACCCCCAGCAAACCTAGCACCTCTGAAGAAAAACCCATAATAACGCCTCCGCCCGAACCCCTCAAGGCCAGCGACACCAAACCCCTCGACAGTGTCCTCCACATCCCCACGGCTGCCGAAGAAGAATCCCACAAACCACCCCACCTCAAAACACCCCCCTACGTCCACCACTTCGACACCTACGGCCTGGTGCGCAAACTTTCCCAATCCTCCTACACTCCCGAACAATCCATCACCATCATGAAAGCCGTGCGCCAAACCCTCCTCTCCAACATGGCACTCGCCCGCGAAGGCCTAGTCAGCAAATCCAACGTCGAAAACGAAACTTATCTCTTCCGCGCCGCGTGCAGCGAGCTGAAGACGGAAATCGGCAATGCACGTAAAGGAGAGATGGAGCGCATGCGCCAGGAGAGGGGGCAGTTGCAGCATGAAGTTGATATTTTAGGGCAGAGACTGAGTCAGGAGACGGGGGGGCTGAAGGATGAGCTGAAGGGGCTTTTTGATGATAGGAAGATGGCAGTGAGGATGGAGCAGAGGGCGATGGAGACAAAGGTACGTTTTGCTTCCATCCTATCTTTTGGGGGAGGGGTATGGAGCACATGGCTGACGTACGCAATCCTAGATCCAAGAACTCAACTACAAAATTACCGTTGCGCTCAATTCGGATGCGCGCTCAGAAGTCGAGGCGCTGCGCTGGGTGCTTACGAGGCGCGCGGCGATTACAGTGGGGGTATCGGCGTTTATGTTGTTTGTGGCGCTACGGTATACGAGTTATGTGCAGCATCAGAAGCAAGAGGAGAAGAAGAGGAAGCAGAGTGCGCCGCCACCGCATCGACCGAGTCCTATGGAGGAGTTGGGGAGTGATGCTGTGAGTCCTACGGCGAGGGATGCGTTGGGAGGAGAGCTGTTGGCTACGGAGGGGGTGTCGCTTGGATGAGTAGTGAAAGTCAAGTAGTAATGACGTGATACTTGTTGATTATAAACGTTTTCGATCCTTGCTTTTCAACTCCCAAAGTTTTAGCGAAATAGGAAGAAAACGGATCTATAGCTTATGCTTCTTCTCCCCCACCGCCAACTTCCTAAACTCCTCCTGCGGCACTCCCTTCAAGAACCTCTTCAACCCGCCCATTACCTCCTCGACCCCCTGCCTATCCAGCGCCTCCCGCATCGGCTTCTGAATCAACGCCTTAATCTGCACCAGACTCTCCCTATTCAAGTGATCTCCCAGCCTCTCCTCCACCTCTTCTAGCACCTGTCCCAAAAACCTGTCACTGTATCCTTCATCCTTCGCATTCCCCGCGTCAAACGTCTTGTTCACGAAGCCCGTGGCTAGCAACTCGTCGTTGGTAATGCGCTTACTCATTATCAGGGCTTCGTTGGCTTTTGCGAGACCGAGGCGTCGCACAAAGCCGATAGAGGCATTGCCTTCTGTTACGAGGCCGAGGGAAGAGAAGGGGGTGAGGAGGAAGGAGTGCGGGGCACTGTAGATGAAGTCTGAGAAGCTGATTAGGGCTGCGGAGAGGCCGACGGCAGGGCCGTTGAGGGCGGTAATGAGGATTTTAGGGTGGGCGTAGAAGGCGTGGGTTATCTATTTTTGATTCGTTCAATTAGCTTTGCCATGGTTTTTTCTACGCGAATTTTAAGGAGGGAGGTTTGAGGAAAGGCAGAGACGTACGAAGAGGTTGTTCGCGACGAAACTTCGGAGATACATGTGTTGCTCGTCTAGTGCTGAATCGTCTGTTTGCGAGCCAAAGGATACGTCTGCGCCTGCGCTGAAAAAGCGACCTTTGCCGGTTAGAATGGTGATGCAGATGTCGTCGCGGCCTGCGACCTCGTTCATGGCACTGGCGAGCTGGTAGTAGTCGTTTGCGCCGAGAGCGTTGAGCTTTTTGGGGGCATTGAGCGTGATGATTGCGGTTTTGCCGCGGTATTCGATCTGAATGGGACTTTCCGAGGCCATTGTGACTTTTGGGTGTGGTTTGCGAAGGGACTGAGACAGTGGGTTCTTGAGATCGAGGTGTATGTGTGTGAAATGTTTTGATGGCGCGGAGAGGTTGTGCTGCTCGCGTGGAGATTGGGGATGTGAGGTATGGATTGAGCCGAGGCTTAGAATGCGGAGAGGGATTGGATTATCCGGGTAGGAGATTATGTATTATCCTATTCGAAGGGAGTGTAGAATGCATGCCGGACTTCGGGGTTTTCATTTCCCGCGCTGGATATGGTGTAGACATGGTAAGATACGAAGAAGTATCATGGACAAAGCTTGTATCTATCCATCGCAAGCATATGAAGTTTTGTTGCTAGCTTACCCCAAGTTCCGAATGGTGGGGACGATGATGTAGGGCTGAAGATTAGATCGAGCCATTGCGATTCGTCCATTGTGAGAGATATCACCGAGCCATCGCCGAGCAGAGATCTGAGATTCTTTGGACGCCATCATCACTCCACCTCAAGCCGCCCGGTTAGTTTCGCCAGACGCCCCGCAAAGCCACGCTCCTTGTCGCAACACCGCAAATATGGCAGGTCCAAATCTCGAGGTCTTCAAGGTACGCCTTCATTACGCAACGATCGTGTGCGCAGCATCCAAACTCGCCTTCGTTACCATGCCATTCACTCAGCACCACCTCCCGCCGCCCAATTGGACCCGGATCTATTGAACTGACTCGACACCTTTAGTTCGGAATGTACATTCTCTTCCCAATCAGTATAATGTACTACTTCGGTACCAATCTTGACGGCAAATTCACGGTTCCCGAGTTTTGGCCAAAGCCGGGTCAAACGCATAAGATCCCGTACGACCGCGATGAGATAGCAAAGGAACTGGAGAGGATAAAGGCGAGAAACCTGGAGAACAAGCGCAGGAGAGAGGAGAGGGAGAGGTTAAGGGAAATGGGCGGCCAGACTAGGGAGGAATGAGCGGAATATACCAGAGGGCGATGCTTGCATATATGGAATGCGTTATGACATGTAGACCATAGGATGAGAAGAAAAAAACAGAGTCGCAACAATATTACAAGCCCGGGAGACTACGAAGTACCAGGGTACAAAAAATGGCATGGATGGCATTTGGATATCATGATGCGCTTGAGGAGATATGTACATTATCGTACAATACTGTATCATACAGAAATCTAGGTGGAGATGAGGAGCATATTAGACGCTCACCTTTCCTCTCAACTCTTCCCACATTTCCTCTGCTATGCTGCCCTTGGTCCAGTTCATGTATACGCCCTGTACGCCCTGCACTTCCTGCAGCTCGTCCAAGAAATTACTCAGCTCTTTTGCTGCACCCTCGTCATCCAATGTGACCTTGGTATCCTCGTTAGGGTCGTATATGATCTCACTCTCCTCGATTTCGAGACCGACGTCTTTGGATAATTTTTCGGCGGTCTTATTCGTCATGGCTGGCTCGGTGTACAAGACCACTCGGCCTTCAGCATCCTCGTCTACATCCAATACGCCCGCTTCCAGCGCCGGCTCCAGTACCTCATCTACGGTCACACCATCTTTCTTCCGAAGTATTATCCGTCCTTTCTTTTCAAACATAAAGGCGACTGTGGAGACGGTGCCGCCCGCTTCCTTGACTAGTAAGCGGAGGTCAGCCAATGCACGTAGCTTGTTGTCGGTCTGGCATTCTATAATAGTGGCAATAGACGGCGGGAGGATGGCCTCAAGGACAAGGGACTCGAGCGCAGTGCCTGCGGCAGAGAGACCCTGCCCGCGTGCAATGGCAGCCTCAATGGAAGCCTTCGGTACGGCGGATTTCTTTGCAGTAGCTATGGCGAGAGCGAGGCGGGGGTTCATATCAGGGTTTGGCCCAGCGAGTTTGACGGCATTGGTGATGTCGCGGGTCATTAGCGACCGTTGCTTCGATTTACCAGCGTCATTCTTCGCCTTGTCGTGCTTAATCGTAGCCCATTTCCTGTGCTCGAGTCAGAATGGATCCCAATTCTTGTGCATGCATCGAGGGCGACCGTACGAGTGGCCTGATAGTAAGGCGGGACTTGTGCTCAAACACCGCACCTGGTCCACTATGCGCACCCTGTACTGCGAAGCATGACGGCAGGGGCAATTGACCGTATTGCTACTGAAAACTGCAGTTCTTACTGCGCGGCGCAACGGAGCTGACATGTAGGGCAACCGACTCTGGGGAATATGGAGCGTCCATCCGAAAAGTTGGAGATCATCGTCCCTGCCAAGACGGAGGTCCGCAACTCCCACATGCACTCGCCAGCGACTCCACAGTCGACATCTGGCATGACGAGCCTCATCAGGGCATGAGCAGCCAGTGCCAACAACCTCACCACGGGACACTGGAGGTCCACGCCGGACACACATAGCCATGGCAACGAACGGCCAGGCCGCCGACGAAAGCCCCACCAACCCTGAACTCGATATCAAGAAGCTCCACGCCCTCCCCACCGAGCAGCAGGACCTGTACCTGCTCACCTTCAGTTCTGACCTCGCGCGTCATGTGGCTGCTCTAGACGGTGATGGCGCTTCGGCGCATCAGATCTACATCAAGAAGGAGATATTCCAGATTGTCAACCTCGCGTCCCCCGCACCCACGCGTGTCATTCGAAACAACCTGGGACGAGCGATTGCAGGCATATTCGAAAAGGGAGACAGGAAACTGCTATTTGAATCCATCAATGATTCCGTAAACATACTCAATGCTGCTGGCAAGAGCGAAAAGGATATCAGGACCAAGCACGCGGCTGCGCATTGCTTGGGCTCTATCTTCGAGGCGGCAGGGGACAGCGCTATCCAGCTGTCGCCTTTGGCAGTAAAGACATTGTTGGGACTCGTCAAGTCTGCGCAGAACCACACTGGTCTGAGGGCAGCGCTGTTCAAGGCTGTAGGAAAGGTGTTCAAAGGGGTCAGCTCCCATGCGGATGAACTGATTACTAGAGATGCTTGGAAACAGGCTCGCAATGCTGGCAGCGACAAGTCCTATATTGTCCAGACAGCTGCCTGCTATTGTCTCGAGCAGTTGATCCGGTACACACCCTTCTTCGATAACTCGACCGACTTTGATAAACTACAAAACGTAGTCTGGAAGGTTATAGACAGTCCTTCGTCGTCTGTGAGACATGCAGTGGCATCATGCATCAGCGCTGCGCTGGTAAAGAACTACTCCGAGAACGTACCGGTCGATATTCCTGTCCTCACACGATCAAAGACAGCAAAAAGGAAAAGCAAGAAGCCAGGGGATGACGATGGCGACGATATCATCATGGAGCGCTCCGAATCGCCTGCGCCGAAGAAGTCTGCAATGCAGCTTTCTTTTACCATTGAGAGTCTTCTCAAGTTACTTGCAACGCAATACTGTCGGCCACAGGCTGGCAACCGTGCTAGGGCTGGAATTGCGGTATGCTATATCAAGACTATCAAGGGCTTGGGCGAGCACATCATTGAGAGCAAATACTCGGACATTGCGCGAAGCCTTTTTGTTGATGTTCTCAGCAATAATGTCATTGTACAGAACCGCTATCGCACTCTCAGCACACGCAAGTTTGTTGCAGTCATTTTGGAGAGTGTTGTTGGCCGCGGCCTGCTTGGAGAGTCTGGACAACTGCACGCCGTGAAATTTCTGGTCAACGACATCCTCAAGGATTATCCTCAGGTGTTGAAAGAGCGCCCAGAGCCTACAAAACAGACACTGGTTGGTGCTCTCAGCACTCTGTCTTCTCTGTTCAGCAGTCTTGGATCGGCTACCAATGCAGTCGCAGACTCCTGTCGAGATGCCTTGATTCAAGTCTTGCAGCATCCGAGTTACACTGTTCAAGTGACAGCATCCGCTTGTCTACGCGCTTTCGTTCTTGCTTGTCCTCTTCAGCTACTTCCTGCTGTCACTATATGCATGAACAGCGTCAACAGAGAGCTTGGTCTCCTCGCAGGGCCGCGACAGTCGCCAAGGAAATGCGTCGGTTTAGCCAACGGTCTCTCCGCTGTGCTGAGCACGTCGACCTCGCAACCATTACATGGTTCCGTAGATGTAAACTCTAGGGTACTCTCACAAGCCACATCATTGTTGAAATCGGCCAGCAACTCCGATCTGAGAATTGGTGCTACTCAGATACAAGTCGCCTGGATCTTGATTGGAGGTCTGATGACTTTGGGGCCAAATTTTGTCAAGATCCATCTTTCGCAATTACTCTTGTTGTGGAAGAATGCACTACCCAAGCCACTCAATAGAGATAACATGGTCCAAAGAAACTACCTAGAGCTCTGCTTCTTGACACATGTCCGAGAATGTGCTCTGGGATCAATCTTAACCTTCTTGGAGTTCAACAGCCGGATCCTGACACTGGACGTAACGAAGAGGTTGGCTGCAATGCTCCAGAACACGACATTATTTTTGAATACATTGCCAGCCAAGAAGACGACTGATGATATGTCACAAAGGCTCTCGCCAGCATTGCAACTTTATGATTTCGATCTGATGGTCCGAAGGAGAGTTCTGCAATGTTACACCAAGCTCGTCGAGCTTAGCCCAGCAAGCAGCACGGAAGTGCTACTACAGACTAACTTGCTGCCCTTTGCGATCGCTTCTTTTGCCGAGCCTGACAATTATACTACGAGCTCATTCAGTACTGCTATTGCTAGTGCTGCGGGAACGTTTGAGAGCATCTGGGAGGTTGCTGACAACCACGGTTTTGGTGTCACTGGATTAGTCCGCGGATATGATATTACACCTCTCCCAGGCGAGCAAGAAACTCATACTCATAATCACTGGCTCACTCGGCATGGCCCTGAGGCTATTATCGACCGCACCCTTCTCTCTCCGATCTGTGGAGCTCGCGAACATGACTCGATTTCGCTATATATCAGGAAGTCGGAAGAGTCTTATGAGCTTCCAGATCCACCAGCTACTGAGGTGGTCAATGCAGCACTTCAACTGTTTGCGATTTGTCTTCCCTTACAGACGGCTAGGATACAAGAAAGCATCTTGGAACAGATGACATCTTTTCTCTCTGCAAGCAGTTTGCAGCGGGATATCAACAGAAAGACTGCCATGATGGTTAACATTGCGTATGCGGTTTTGTCTGCACTGAAGGTTGCAGTAAAGGAGACACGCTCAGCTCCCGGGAGTCTCAAAGGAGCAGCGGTTGAGAAGGTCATGCAGGATCTGTTACACGTGAGTATCTTAACAATTTATCTGTTTCTTCGCTGATCCAAATAGCTGTTCATCATTCTGCCGGACCCCTTCATCCGAAACCTCGCAGGAGAGGCACTAGGTCGCCTGTGCAATAGCTCTGGAAATGCGCTCACTACTACTGAAGTCAATTATTTGGTGGACCAAATCGTTGCAAACCGCGAACCTAATGCTCGTTCTGGATATGCAGTTGCCCTTGGCTGCATACACTCCCAGCTTGGTGGGATGGCTGCTGGTTTCCACCTCAAGAACATACTGGGGATACTTACGTCTCTTGGCGATGATCCACATCCAGTTGTACACTTCTGGGCAATGGATAGCCTGTCGCGAGTCGCTGATTCTGCCGGCCTATCGTTTTCAAGCTATGTCACAAGCACACTCGGCATGCTGGCGCATTGGTATGCTGCAGATACACACAACGAAGAATCAGCATCTCTTCCATACTCAAACATTGAGATCGATATCCCCACTCCTGCTGTTATTGCACGATGTGTTGACAGTAATATCAATGTACTGGGGCCAGATCTACAGGATGTCGCAAAATCAAGAGATCTGATCATGACCCTTGTAGGGCTATTCCAGGGCGATACCGATGAACTTATTGTCATCGAGAGTTTGCGTTGCCAGGAACATATCTCGCTCTATGCGCCAGGTTACATGGACTTCTCGGCCTATGTCAAGAATCTACAGCGATCTATAGAAAGTAACTCAACACAGATCCGTGATATGGCCATCGACGGCTTGCACAACATCATGAGGCGTAATACAGAAGAGGTTATACGTGCGGCTGAGCCGGGTCTGGAAGATCAGCTGTGGCACGTACTTGACCGTGATCCAGAACATGAAGTTGTGCGAAATATTATTCGCAATTGGCTACATCAGACCGGTTTATCAGACACAGCAACGTGGGTACAGCGATGCCATTCCGTCCTGACCAAGACGAAAAAGGTGGAAACTCAGGACAAGATTGAGCAGAAACCGAAAGTGGGCGCAGCAGAGATCCAGGATGAGGAAGTTGCAGGTTTTGCATCTGCATCAAATGCGCCAGGCGCTGAGTCAGGAGATGGCGTACAAGTGAGCCAAGAGCTGCTCAAGTGGCAAGTCCGGACATTTGGTATGGACTGTTTGAGCGAGCTTGTTGCAATGGTCAGCAAGGAAGCTGCCTTCCGAGAAGAAGCGCCTTGTGTGATGGCATTGCAGCAAAGAGTAGCTGATGTGGTGCGCATTGCCTTCTCTGCATCTACTGCTGGCGTTGTTCAGCTGCGGATACGCGGTCTCAAAATCATTGACCAAGTTCTCAAGGTATGCACCCGTACTGGGCATGTAGAACGTGAACTAACCCATCTTATAGCTATTCGGCAAAACGCCTGATCCGGATTTTGCTGAAGTTACCCTACTTGAACAGTACCAGGCCCAGATCGGTTCGGCACTCACACCAGCCTTTGCAGCAGACTCATCGCCAGAGCTTGCAGCTGAAGCTGTAAACGTATGTGCTACATTTATTGCGACTGGTATTGTAACAGATGTGGATCGAATGGGCCGTATTCTCAAGTTGCTCGTGTCAGCACTTGAAAACTTTTCCAGTATGTTTTCTGCCCTTTCCTCATCTCCATGCTTGACTAACACGACTTAGGTGAATCTGAGACTGCATCGATAGGCGATCTCAAAGGGTTGAGCTCAAATGCTCAGGTCATGGTCAAAATGGCAGTCTTCTCGGCTTGGGCCGAGTTGCAGATTGCTAGTGCCGAGCAGACCTACCTGAGAGACGTGCTTAAGCCGCACATTGCTAAACTAACACCTCTTTGGCTGGCGTCGCTGCGGGAATATGCTCGCCTCAGGTTCGAGCCCGACATTACTTCCTCTATGGGTTCTGCGTCGCTCTCTGGTAGCCTTGACACAATCTATGCGGCGCTCAACCGTGAGACGTTGTTGAAGTTCTATCAAGATACCTGGCTCAACCTTGTCGATGCAATTGCTAGTCTCATCGACGAGGATAGCGAGTTCGTGTTTGACGCACTTGATGGAAAGACCGAACTGTCCGAGTCGGATCCGAACCCAAGAGCTGATCATATTAACTATCGCGACGAGCCCGTTGCCTTCTTCTTTGTGCTATTCGGTCTTGCATTCGAGGCCCTTGCAGGTCGTCCAGGTGATCTCCAAGCATCCAAGGAGCAGATTTTGGAGATACTTCAGGCTTTGAAGAAGATCTTGCGGCCTTCAGTATCCGGACATGCTATATATCAAGAGGTTGTGTTCTCGGAGACGATGGATATGCTCGATCGGTTGGTGCTCACTGAAGGCTTGACCATACAGACAGTCATCGTTCAAATTACACGAAACCTTTGCATTGGCCACCCATCTGCAAGGAGAGATCAAGGGTAAGGGATACAAGTTGGGCTGCTCTAAACTCACTAACTCGGCATAGAACTACTTCTGCAGACGAACATCTCTCAGAAGACATTGACCAGCTGTTTGAGTTGACCAAGATCATGGTACTAGTACTATCAGGTTTAATACCCGGGTTGGAAGACAGCAAATCCAAAGGTAGGGCTTCTCTTGTTGTTTGAGAAGAATGTTCGCTAATTCGCATTCATAGCTCGCCACGAAATGAACGAAGAAGCTGTTGCTCTGCTCACAACGGCATTGTCTGCGCTGGTGGATGCTGCACAAGTCTTCCCATCCATTATCAAAGCCGATCTTCATGCTTGCATTCTTCACATCTTTGCATCCATAGTTGGCACTGGAGAATGTCAAGCAACAGTCATCCCGCAAGCGTTGCCAATCTTCAAACGCTTCATCAACAGTCTCGCGCCAGATGCTGAAGCCACAGACGACACTGGCAAGCAACTGCGTGCGACGCTGGCGCGATTCCTTGCCATTCTCAGACACGCCCAAAAGCGGGAATTTGATGCTGCTCTTGCGTGTGAGAAAAACACTATTCTCACGACTACTATCTTGTTAAGCTCTGCATCATCTGCACTTACACCTAACGATCCACTCATCCAACGATTTGTTGATGATCTTTTTGATTGTCTTAGTACGGTTACCACCAGCAAGGTAGCTGCTGGGTGTTGCCGTTCCCTCCTTCTCTTGCCCAAAAAAGGCGCTTTTGAGACAAGTCTTGCGAAGCTTCTTCTTCCGCCTACTCTCTCTTTCCTCGCAATACCTTCAGAGGTAGAAGGCCTCGAGGAGTCCCGCACAACCCTCGCCCAGACCCTTGTCAGCTTCGTCTCAACTCTTCCAGAGCCAGCACAACGGCAAGTCGCGTGCAAAATCATCATTCCTGCCTTGCTATCACGGGCACAGAACGAACCAAAGGCAACCCAAGAAACAGCGGCAAGGCTACTTGAGATCGCTGGTGCCGACCAACAGGCGTTCAGAACTGTGGTGACTGGACTGACGCCTGAGCAAAGAAGCTTCATGGAAGGGGTGTTGAAGAGCGGGCAAGGGCCTAGGAGACAGGAAGTTAATAGGGAGGATGACGGAATGCCCAAGATTGCGCTCAAGATGGATTTTGGGTCATAGAGTGGAGGATGGGCTTAATGGAGGTATGAGTCTTGTGTTTGTATAATGACATGCTTAGTGGTTGTGTGGTATGATACTAGATTAGACATGTGCGGTTTGAATGAATGACGATTCTTGAGGGTTGACTGCTTTCCTAATTTTATGTCAAATGACAATTGAAACTCATGCCAGGTTCACCGTGCAAGAGTTCAACTTTGAAGTTCGTTATCAGGGAGCCAATATGCCCGCGGCAACCCAATCTTCCTTTTTACAATACTCCTTCAAGCTCATTGTCGGAACGTGTACGCCCATCTAAAAATCAATCAATCGTTAGCTGACAACTCCAAATCACGCAGCAAGACCTTTCATCCTCACCTTTTCCAGATCCCACGTCATCAACGTATCCTTTTGATTTGCATTGTACCCCCAAGTACTCGAAAACTCAAACATTTCTCCAATCTCCTTACCTGCACCTCCAGGTATTTCCTTGTCGAAATCCTCAACGCTAACTTGCTTGTAACTAGTCTTCACCCCAGTCACCTCACCCCAAGTCTTGATCCAATCCGGCCATGTGCACCATTCGCTCGCAGCCATGACCGTCGACCCTGGAGGCAGCTTCAACATGGCTTGTACAAAAGGACCAACATCCGTCCGGGGATGGAGATGCGGTATCAGCGTATCCGGAGACGTCGGAGACTGCATCTGAACCGAGCCATCAGGCAACTATACGTATACCTCTTCATTAGCAATTTCTTCCCCAACCACCACTTCCAACGTTTCCCCTGCATATTGCCATGTGGAAGAATGACACATGATACACATACCTTTGCAAACCACCGATTAGGCATATACCTCCAACTCGTATAAAAATACCCCGTATGCAAGTAACTCGTCTTCTTGGCGACCTCCGGATACTTCTCCTTCACATACTTTGGAAAAACATCTGCCTTACCATCAAAATGCCACAACTCTTTATACTTAGCTTCGCTGCTCTCGCGGGCGTTGCACAACGTACTCGCCACAAACCCCACCTCATCCAGTCCGTCCACAACTTTCGCTACGGCATCTACGATATTGCGTCCTTGCTCGGCTTCAAGCTCGTACGCCAACCGTCCAATTGGTATGCCGAGCTCCGCTGCGCGAGCAGCGTTGGAAGGAGTGAAGAACGGAGTCCAGAAGTCTGTGGCGCTGAAGATCAAATTTGCGCCGTCAAAGGCGCGCGAGAGAGAAGACGGGTCGTGTAGGTCTGCTTGTATCATCTCGATGCCGAGGGAAGAGAGGTGCTGCGAGGTGGGCGAGGTGGGGTGGCGGGTTAGGCCGCGGATGCGCCAGGTTGGGGAGGAGAGGAAGGTGTGAGCGACGGAGGAGCCTTGGTTGCCGGTTATGCCGATTATGACGATGAGTTTGGACATTTTTTGGCTGATATATCTGTTTTGTTTTGTGTTCTGTCTTTTTTCTGTTGTTGTTGTTGTTGTGTCTTTTGGGTGATGTTAAGTTTGGGGGCGGAAATGAGGTCGAGATAAACGAACATGAGTGGAGACGACGGGAAGGATTGAGTGCCCCACGTGGGAGTTTCAAGGGTGGGAATGGGTTGTGTGCTTGGTGTGTCTTTGGCGTGTTGGAATGAATGTTTTGGAGAGAACCGATGGGTTCAATTGCTTCATTGTTTTGGTCGACGCCGCTGTTCCAGTATATGTACTTGTATGTTGTATTTATTTGAGGTGGTGTGATTCACGAGGCAGGTTACCTAAAAATACACACCCCAATACAGAGAATAAACATGATTGCCTTCACACTCGCAGAGAGAAAGAAACAACTCTATACTGTATTGTAAAAGTAACTACACACAACCTTCTCGAAACCCTCTATGACTTTAATAAGCCATCATCTCCCTCTCCCTAACGTTTCAACTCCCTTCATTCGCCCCATTCACCCCCTCTTCCCCAGGCACATCCACCAAACTCCCCAAACCCTCCGTTTCCTTCATCCTCTTCTGCCACGGCAACAACTCCGCCGCCGCCCTCACAGCTCCTACTTCCCCCCGTTCCCTCCTCTCCCTCCACCCCTCAATCTCCTTCTGCTCCACAAAATTCCCATGCAACCCCAACCTCAACTTAACCGGCAAATGCACCACAGCCAACGGCCCCTGTTCCAAATTCCTCGCGTCAAAAATCATAATGTCGTTTCTCAGCACATCCAAATGATTCAACAGCGCAATGATGTATCCGTCTCCCTCTTCAAACTCCCCCTCCCTGTTTTCCCCTTCCAATGAAGAAGAGGAAGACCGCCTCGGCACAAACACCGGCTCCTGAAACGTACACGTCGGACCCGCCCAGTACATATCTTTGCGTCCAGTATCCCACTCATAATGCCCCAGTACATTAAACAGCCCACCAGCTGGCGGCCCACATTTCGCCCCGTCATACGGTTTGGTGGGATCGATATTACACTGCCAAAAGTGATTGTACTGTTTGGTCAACACTCTATCATCTATACGCGAGAACTCGCCGTTTATACCAAACACTTTATGCGGCTGGACGCGTGTATGCGTGGGCGTTTTGGGGTCGAAGATCCAGCGGTAGGTGTCTGAGACGAGTTTGTTGCGTTGTTGGAGGGTGGATGGGGTGGAAGGGGGAGGAGGGTCGGGCGGGAAGAAGAAAAAGACGTTGTCGGAGGCTATGGTTAGGTCGACTACTATATTGCCATCGGGGGTTTCGTAGGAGCCGGCTATGTGGCCGTGGAAGCCTAGGGGGTGTTAGAAGAGCGACACGGGAGGGGGTGGGGGATATAAGTACCGTTGTCTGCGCGGAGCCAGATGATGTCGTCGGGTTTGCCGTTTCGACGTGGGACGATGCCGTACCATTGGTCTTCATTCGGGTCCCAGGCAAAGTGGTTTCCGCCTTTTTTGAGTCGGTCTTCGCTGACTTTGATGGGAGTTAAGGGGAAGACTAGGTAGTTCTTTGTGATGGCACAGTCGTGGATCATGCCGGAGAAGGGTGCTTTGTACCAGCACTCTTCTGTCTTCTTCCCGTCTTTGTCGATCGTGTAGACGACGATGTCACAGCTAGCGTCGTAGCCGTTGCCTCCGGCTTGATAGCCGTAGCAAACCATTTCTCCAGTGTCTGGATCGAACTTGGGATGTGCGGTAAACGTGGGAGATTGCACTTGGCCGTCAAAGTCGTAGCGGCCGATTGTTTCGAGAGTGACTGGATCCATGGCGAATGGTGGACCGTCTTCCTTCATTGCAAGAAGAACACCCCGCCAAAAGATTACGTTGGTATTTGACGCGGTTCTTATGATGCCCTTTACCATTTCGTTGTCGGTATAAGGGTTCCTGTACCGACCGAGCAATGCGCGCCGGGCTTTTGTCTCTGCTTTGAAACGATCTGTATGTACATATCGTTGTCGAAAGTCAACATGGCCATTTTCGAACCGAAAGGCAGATACAGAGCCATCACCATTGAAATGTATATCTTCTTCAAAAAGAGGCGGAAAGCGGTGGTCCGGCTGTATGCGAAAGAAAGTGCCATTGATATCTTTTGGAATCTATGGTTGCTGAGAACAACCCTGTTTATGTACCTGAATTGCTCGACTTACTGTGCCAGTAGTTTCTAGCTCAAAAATGTCTGCCTCGAGTCGGGATGGCTTGTTAAAGCCCTTGAAAAACGGAGTATCTGGGAATTTGACTTGATCGCCATGCTTTTTGCCTTCCTGATAAGCCGCAGGTACTGGACTTGCTAGGGAGAAAATGCGCGCCATGATGTACCATCACCTTGTTCCATTCAGATACTCGCCAGCACCCTGCCATCTAATACTCGAATCTGAAATCACTATTTTGATTGCAGTACACTCCATTGGAACCAAATTCCTTGCGCTGCTTCGGTACACTGGAAAGAACGGATGTGGGGTATCTCACTTGCGGGGTAGCTTACTGGGTACGGGTCTCGGCTAGAATGGTGAAGGTCGGAGTGATAAGACCGGATGATATCAGTAGCGGCATGATGTACGCGAGGGGTACATTTGCTTTGTAAGGGTACTAGCGCCTTCGTTGTCTTGATTGCAATGATGCAGTACATCAATAGTGTTGAACACATGATATTGGATATCCAGCTTCCAATTGTACTGAGCTAAGTCGGCTAAAAATGATCGGTCGTAAGGGTCCCAATGTAATGGTGCATTCGCCAAGCAAAGCATCACTTTCTGCTTGGGGATAGCGTGACATTCGGTACTTGACTTCTATGACATCTACGTAGGTGTAGGGCGAACAGAGTCAATGACTTGTCTTGAACGAAGACTGTGTAACACATCCTTTATCCGGTGCAGGGGAAGTAACAGAACCACGTGTCCCACATATATCGTATGCAAAGAAGCATTACTACATTTTTCACTAGTGTGTACAGTGTCCCGTTTACAATGTCAGACAATTACAGCATTCAGGGTCACGTAGATTTGTAGAAAGATGCTCGAAGCAATATCTCCACATATTCAAATAGTTTGGTATGCATAGATGTATGCTGGGACATTGCCAAGGAAATATAGGAATAGTAGAAATGCTTGATTTGTTGTGTAGTCGAAAAGACACTATCACTGCAGGGATTTATGCCACCTATTATATCTCGTATCTCAATCTACGGTGCACCGTTCACTTCCGACCGAGGTTTACTTAACACTAACGGGGGGGTACTTGTCGACGGGTCCTTCCCGTAATGGGGCGCTCTCAAATCGTCGTCTGCAACCTGCTCACCAGTGACGGGATGAGTGTAGTGGAACGGCACAACGCGGGTATCCGGCCAGAGCATTGGATTTTCACACAAAACATCTGGTCCGAGGGGATCCTCCGGGAAGGTTGTTTTCGGGAATGGCACGTGATTCGGTTTGGTGTAGGACCAACCTTTGTCAAAGGGCGCATGCCAAAAGGGAAAATACTTGAGTCTGAAAATCTTCCAAACGCCGTTTTCTTTGATGTACTCGTTCTCGTACACGCCGCTTTCCCACCATTGTACCAGGCCGCGAGGGTGTGTGTCCTTGATGCTTTCGTGTGTGCCGGCGGACATCATGCTGCGGAAGCGACCCTTTGCGCGAGTGCCTTCTGCATTGACGTCGACTATGCCCTGCATTTGAGGGTGATCGAGTAAGAAGCCGTGAACGGGTCCGTTTCGTCCAGCTACAAATATTTTGGCGAAGCGGCCAACGTAGAGGCGCCTGACGCCCGCTTTGCCATCATAGCGGCCTCCAAGAAATTCAACACAGGTATCTGGGTGGTCGGAGAAGAGATCGGTAACCTGATGTTATGAGCAACCAAGTCTTGCACATATTACATGGCTACCTACCTCTTTGTAGAGACATTTGTCGAGATAGTAGCCGTATGTGTACTGAAGTTTGCGAACGTCCTCTTGGTCTAAGGTGGGGTCAGCGTTTTGAAGCGCGAGTGATGGTTGACTAAGCCGCACCACTCAGCCGCGTCACCTGCGACTGCATCTTCTCTACCATAGCCTTCAGCTGCTCAATTTCAACAGTCATTATCGTGGTTGTCTTTTGGAGAAACTAGGGTGTAAATGCGATTCAATGTCGCGGCCATTCTTCACTTTTTAATATCAATGGTACACGATTTAGTACCTAACGCAGAGCTGTCCGATCTGTCACCACCACGACTATGAGGAAGATCCCGTGCTATCCCCACGAATAGGGTCGGTCAAAGAGTCGGCGTTATGAATGCGAAATGCGCGAGAACAGCGGTTATACACTGCCGATGGGACTATTCCCTAAGGAGTTTGTGGAGCATAACGGCAAAGCAAGATTGTGGTGGGGTCATGCACCACAAGTAATCCCAGCTTCAGCTTGCTAGCGTTTTTCGACCTAGAAACCACCACCGTCGCTGATATTCATTGGGACGTGCTGCAGCAATATCAGAGGTTAGCTTATCAGTATCCAGTCGATCTCCTGTGGGATCAAACTAACAAAGACTTGCTGGATACTGTTTGCCTTTGTGAGGTGCAGCGACCGAAGTACAGCCGTAGTAACAGAAGAGCTGCGTCATTACATTTGATATTCCAACATGGACCTTCCAGAGAAGATTGAGACGCGTTTGTTCATCAACGGAGAAGTCAGTCACAGAGAACTGGTAGAACTGAACACTTGGGCTGACCCTTTCACAGTTTGTTGAGTCGTCAAATGGCAAAACATTTGACATTGTCAATCCATCAACGTTGAAGCTCGTAGCCAAGGGTTAGTTTCATTGAGCCTCTTTGGGGAGACATGTTGGCTTAAGAAGACCACAGTACACGAGGCATCTGAGCAGGACACAGACAATGCTGTAGCCGCAGCAAAAGCTGCTTTCCCTGCATGGTCTGCACTCTCTCCCGACCAAAGGGCCCAGCATTTCAAGAAGCTGGCAGCACTGATCCGAGAGAACAACGATGAGCTAGCGGCGTTGGAAGCAAGTTCGATGGGTCGCCCGGTGGGAGAGTTTTTTGATGCATACGCGGCGGCGGCAAAGTGGGATCGCTATGCGGAGAGCGGATACAATGTGCAAGGTGAGAATGTCAGTACATGACGGAGTTGAGATACTGACGTGAAGCAGGAACTACCAGTGTTCAGACTCCGGGGTTCATCAACATGACACTACGTCAGCCCTATGGAGTCGTTGCTGCTATTATCCCATGGAACGTGCCCTTGTTTTTCCTAGCAAGCAAGCTTGCTCCAGCTTTGATTGTAGGAAACACAGTCGTCCTAAAGAGCTCCGAGAAGGCTCCCTTGACTGTGAGTGATGGGTTGAATATTTACGTCAAAAGCTAATGGTATCAGTCTGCCAAAATCGCCGTGCTGGTAAAGCAGGCTGGGTTCCCGCCAGGCGTCATCAACATCATCACTGGGTTCGGAAATGTCAGTGGTTCCGTGTTGAGCCACCACATGGACGTCCGAGCTCTGACATTTACTGGGTCGAGCCGGACTGGAAGGATCATCCAAGAAGCGGCGGCAAAGTCCAATCTGAAGCAAGTCTACCTGGAGCTCGGGGGCAAGTCGCCGGCGGTCATTTTCGAAGACGCGGACATGGAGAAGGCGGTCAAGGAGACAGCGCACAGCATTCGATGGAACAGTGGGCAGGTGTGCATGGCTAACTCGCGCATCTACGTGCAGAATTCGGTGGCGGACCGGTACATTGAGCTTTTCAAGCGAAACTTTGAGACTGAGACCAAAATGGGAGATCCACTAGCAGCGCCCCAAGAGGGTATCAATCACGGCCCGCAGGCAGATGGGGCGCAACACAAGACAGTGCTGCAATACCTAGAAAGTGGGAAGCAGTCTGGCGGAGAGCTGATTACGGGAGGGAGTGCGCCGTCTGATCGCGAAGGGTACTACATTCAGCCGACCATTTTCAAGAACACGCCTGAGGAGGCGAAGATTATGAAGGAGGAGATTTTTGGGCCGGTGGTCAGCATCAATGTCTTCAGCACTGAGGAGGAGGCTCTGGCCAAAGCCAACGCGACAGAGTTTGTTCCCTCCCCCTGCCTTCTCAGCAACGCTATGTGAAACTGATGGTGACTAACGACGATGCAGGTTCGGGCTCTACGCGTCGGTATACACCAAGGACATTGACCGGGCAATGCGCTTCGCAAAGGGGCTGGAGGCTGGGACGGTGGGAATCAATTGCACGTCGCCAGGTGAGTTTCTGATGTTGATAGGGCCTGCAGGGATATGGATGCACCAGGCGGTTGCTAACGCGAGAGACAGTGACGGGCACGGACATGCCGTTTGGTGGATACAAGTCGTCGGGGTCTGGGCGGGAAGGAGAGCCTCTGTACTCGCTCAACAACTTCTTGGAGACGAAGAGCGTGCTGATCAAGATGGGGTAGAGAGTGGTGGTAAATGAATGTATACTATGTAGAGTAGTGGAAGGGGGTGGCGGTGGTGCATTCCGGCCAATCGGCGGGTGTTGCAGGGTGGCTTTGCGGGCGAGAACGAACCAGGCGCCGAGCACGCAAACCCATGCACGCGTGAATTGGAATCCTTCTCTTTTGCACCCGTCTCCTCCACTGAAGTGGGCAACATGCTCCGCTGCGTTTCCCTGGACTGCTGCAGGTGTGCCGAATGAGCCCACTGCGTCGCTGCTAGAGCCATTAATAGTGTCGTCTGGTCGCGCCGGGCTGCCCCCCCGGTGTCCTCGGAACGATATGGCCGAGTTGGCCGCCCCGCAACCTCCAGCGCCTGCGCCTGCGCCTGCGCCCGCGTCGAGCAGAGGACCCAACGGCCATCGTGTGCACAGCAGCTGTGACCGCTGTCGCAGCAGAAAAACAAAGGTACGCACACACCACAAGTAACTATGTACACACGAGAGACCCGCTCCATCCGCCGCCAAGCAGCTAACCGCCGCCCGTAATCCGCAGTGCATCGATCCCAGTACGACTTCCCACTGCTCTGACCTGACTACTTACTCACCCGCCCGTCCACTCATTCACCCACCCTACCGCCCGCTCCCCAATGGCCACCAAAGCCTCTCTCCCCTCTGCTGACACGTCCCCATAGTTCCCGGCCCATGTCGCTACTGCGCCCGCACAGGCGCTGTCTGTACCATTGCCACGCCCAGGCGCAAGAGGCCCTACTACCATGTCACCGAAGAGGAGTACCAGTGTGCTATGCGCATCCTCGAGCACTTCTTTCCTGGCCGTGAACTCAATCTCCAATCCCTCCGCGCCATTGCTAAGGCTATCAAGGATGGCTCCTTTCACGCCGACCCTGTCCAGCAAACTGACGGTCTCTTCGCCAGCAACCAGGCATCGCCCGAAGATGGCGACAGTGTTGACAATGGCGAGGAGCAGGACGTCAGCGAGCTGCATGAATCACTCGGCTGCATGATGAAGGACTCGCGCGGCAAGTTTCGTTACGTAGGAGCCCACAGCGAGATTCCCTTCAATGCCGTCGTGGCTACCTTGGGCATGCAGCGGAAGGACCCATCGATCATTCCCACTCCAAAAGTGGGGGCGTATCCACCGACCCTTCCTGTAGCATCACCCTCTACTGATTCGGGTGCCGAAGAGAGCTACTATCTCCCCAGTCGCCATCTATGTGACATTTACATTTCTCGCTTCCTCGAAGATGTCCACTGCACATACTGGCTCTACCCCGTCGAAGCCCTGCTGCGCCGGGTTGACAACACCTATTCCGAGTCAGCCGAGTCTTCCTCCAGCTCATGGATGTGCTCCCTGTACACAATCTTCGCCATTGGAGCAGCAAACTATGTCGGCAACAATGGCAACTCCCCGCCGCCAGACTGGCCTGCCGCCATGGACGTAAAAACATCAGAGGATTACCTTGCCCTTGCCAAACAGCTCATTCCAGTCGTCTACGATGAAGCTGACTTGGACAGCATCCGTGCAATGGCCATTATGGTAAATCCATCTCAACAACAACAACCCACCCTGTCAAACGTGGCTGACCGCTGTCTAGTCTATTGCAATGGAGAATCTTTGCTCGAGAGTCAGCGCCTACCTGTACATGGGAGCCGGTGTGCAAATGGCCTTCTCCCTAGGTTTGCACCGCGACCAGGTCGACGAGTCAGCCACCGCGCTTGACCAGGAGCAGCACCGTCGTATTTGGTGGACTTTGTTTCAGCTAGACCAAGAAATCTCGTCAAGGGGTGGCTGCCCGACCATTGTAGATGAGCGCTTTACCAAGGTTACGACACCTATGCCGTCTGAGCGGGTATGGCCAATATCGTTGATTCTGAATGTCCACATACTGATGTGTCGTAGGCTGTATATCCAGGGCTGCACACACCTCTTTCGTGGATGGCCACATCAGTTTCTCTCTGTCGCTTGAGGCGCGAAGTCATCCAGGCCGTTTACATGGAGCGTTCGTCGAACTCGATATCCTTTTCGACAATCTCAAACTCGCTCCTGCTGCTACAGAAATGGTACCGTCAAATGCCAGCACATCTGAAAACTGACGTGCCCGCACCTCCAACGTACAGGCGTGCAATCGCAGTCCTGCATCTACAGTATTGGAGTACCAATATCCTCTTGACACGACCTTTTTTGCTCTACCTGGTCATCAAATATGGCTCACTGGTGTCAAGTAAAAAAATCTGGTTTGAGCGCATGGGAAAAACGTGCATCGACGCAGCACAGAAGAGTATTGCCATCTTGAAGCAAATGGCCAAGGACAGCGTGCTTTCTAGCTTGACGGCTTTTGATAGTACCTGCATCTTGCGCTTAGTCATCGTATTTATTCTGGCCTATGTTCACACCAGATTACCGCAATACAGCGAGCACATTTGGCATTTGGTGGAGCTAGTCAATGGCATGGAGCAGATTGGTTTTACAAAGATGGTATCTGAAGAAACACCCATACGCCTAGCGGATCTGGGAATACCAAAACATGTTCCAACCATCAATAACAATAATCATACGCCAGTCACTTTGGACGATGCAACAATGGCCCAATTGTGGGGCTGGGACTCGTGAGTTTTGCCGCGGAAAATTGCTGTCCCTGACTAACATCCGCACAGTAATTTCATGACTCCGCTGCAGATGCAGCAAAGCTTGGATCTCAACTTTGACGACTCAGGTGCTTTCGACATCAACACCGAGATTCTTGCATTCACCAACCTCAATGAAAACATTATCATTGACCCATCGCGTGCCTATCCACAATATAGGATGCAATGACATATTCCTTGGGCAATGACGCACCCCGATACAACCACAAATTGTACGTCTACCAACTGAGATGCGGGTCTGTTTTTTCCATGACCCCGTCAGTACCACTTGGCTGGAGCGTATCCCAGTAGATGGAAATGAACAAGGACAGACCTTCGCACCGTTATGCACTTTTGTCCACAGGAATACTCGAGGTTTACGTTCTCGTGTAGCATGGCCCGCTAGGATGCTACAGTGTGACGGCTTGATGTCGTGGCCTACCCAAAGAGTTGAAGCATATATGTGTATCAAAGAATTCAGAATAAGAATGCCTGTATCTAAGGGACCACGAGTTTACATGCATGTTGAATAGGTATGGATAAATATTATTTTCAACAGAACTAACGTGGATCCATGGGTCACGCAAATACCCCCGTGCCGCAAGTATCCTACACATTCGATACCTTAGATGTTTTAATATTGCCTTTATTGTTCTATAATACTATACGCATATTCTCTAGACTTCTTCCTGTTCGATAACGGCTTGTGGCGAAAAAACACATAGTGATGAGCTGTGCTGTCGCTCGTGCATTTCTATCCGCTGGAAGCTGCATCACGTTTACACCTCAGTATTAGTAGTATAGCTTAAGGTACCACCTATATCGGGATGATAGGTGAATAGAATGATTATAGGAGAACATATCCCGAGACTTGTACAGATGCTTAAACTTAAGAAAATATATTCCGGATTTTTCCGTGAACAAGACTTGATCTCGCGCCTTGACCGCTGAGTTTAGCGCGCTTACATCATATCTTGGCATACCATATCGTACGGCGTCTGTTCTTAAGCTAGCTTGATAGAATCGAAGTGTGGCGCACGCTTCTCGAAGCATCGACTTTGGTCACGTACGTACTATCTTTAGCACGAACGCGTTCCGTTGTTCCGGTCGAGCAGTGCGGAGCTGCGCTGTGTGTCGTGCTGGCCTGAATAGCAGCATTCGCAACACCACAGCAAACATGGAGCCAGCCAGTCAAGTGCTAGCGCAAACTAACCCTATAGATGTGCCTGCGGACCGGCCTTCCCCCGTAGAGACTAAAGAAGAGATTCCCTACCATACCCGCTACTACCAGAAGCGCGGACGACCTTCGATGAAAGAGAAGGCTCAAGGCCAGCAATACCTCACCCCACCCGAGAAGAAAGCTCTTGTTGCTTTCATATTACGGATAAGTGCAGTCAGGACTCCTGTACGTGTGAAGTATATACCTACACTTGCCTTTTGCATCGCTAGCCGACGTGCCACGAAACGACCCTCCGAGCCACCGAAGAAGAATTGGCCTCAGGCCTTCCATCGCCGCCACCCACAGCTCAAATCGAGGAATAATAGGCCTATGCCGTGGGAGCGTCACGATAATAGCATATACGATAAGGTAGTACATTGGTTCGATATGATCAGGGAGGAACTCTGCAGACCAGACGTCTTGCCAGAGAACGCCTATAATATGAATGAGACAGGCATCATGCTTTCCATGCTTGGCTCTATCAAAGTCCTGGTATGTAAAGGTGATGGACGGGACTATAGAGGAACTGGCACAAAGCGGACGATGGTAACTGCTATCGAATGCGTGTCAGCAAGCGGTGAGTATCTCAATCCGATGATAATCTGGCCTGCATCTACCCACAGGAGCAACTAGACGACGTACCCTACTCCTAGATGGTTCTATGCTCTTTCTAAAACAGGTTACAATAACTCTTTTATTAGCCTGGAGTGGATTAAACAAGTCTTTGACCCTCAGACTAAAGCTCGTGCTAATGGGAAGCCACGGATACTCATCTACGATGGCTTTGGGACACATGAAACCCTCAAGATTATCGAATTTTGCTTAGAGAATAACATCATCCTATGTAGACTACCCTCCCACACGTCTCACAAGACATAACCCTGTGACGTGTCAGTTTTTGGGCCATTGAAAACAGCGTACCGAGATGAAGTCGAGCGCCGCTACCGTAGAGGTCTGACGAATATCAACAAAGAACACTTCACTGCCATATACAGTCGTGCGAGAGAAAGGGCGATGACGAAGAAGAATATACTTGCTGGCTAGGCAAAGACCGGCCTCTTTCCTTATAACCCTTCGAGGGTTCTTCGTGATATCGTAAAGCCAGACGCTCCGCTGACCATTCAGGTCTCCCACAATGTCGGAAGCACACAGAATGGAGTAACCCAGACACCAGTGATGCCCGTGTCATCAGAAGCAGTGGCACAACTGCTGAGCCTCATCAAGCAAGATTCTCATAGTGATAAGCCAATTGAATTACGTCGTCATAGACTGATTCAGAAGCTTGCCAACGCTGCCGAAAGGTCTATTGCCCAACAAGCCCTTGACCAGAATTATATTAGGCTTCTCAAGGCTGCCAATAACGAGGCTAAGACTCGCCGAAATACAAAGTCAGATATCCTGAAGAAGCCTGGGAAGAACGGCGAAGGACGAGTAATGAGACAGGAAGATCTCGAAGCAATTCGGGCGGACCGCGCAGAACGTGCTAAACAAGATGCTGTCAAAAAGGCTGTAGGTAAAGCAAAGCGCGGCCGGCCAAAGGCAACGACGCAGGCAGACGGAGGTGAATCAGGGAAGAAACGTGGTCGGAAGCGTAAAATTGTCGCGGCCGGAGGAGCTGTTCCAGATGAGCAGGAAGTAGGCGTGTCGGGACCCTCAAATAAAGCAGCGCAAGCAAGCGATGCGCTTATTGATCCGATGCTGGAAACGTGGAGAGCACCTGTGGCACAGATGTGGTGACGATAGAGGGACATACCGATCACGCTCAGCATGTTCCAGACATGAACGTAGACCTATAATGTGAAGGCAATTCTGCTTTAGCGCTTGTTCAACCTTCATGCTTGCCACCGCGCTGACATAGGCGGACCGGTCTTCCAGCATGCTGTGAGAAGCATTCAAACCACTTCCTTCATCAACAGCATGCTGATGCCTGTCTGGCGAGAACACTACCGCCTTGACATATGATAATTGCTCTGTAGCACGTTGCGAAAGAAGCCTGTCGCTGTCCCCCTCTTTCCTACTGTTCTGTCATTGCAGCTGAACTCCACCAATCCTTAGTTTGACCTTATCGATAAGATGTGCCGTCATGAGATTCGCACAGCAGGTCCTTGCTCAGCCTCACTCAAGCCGCGCACTCATCAGCCTGGTCGAACATCAACGATGTCACCTTGTTCGCAAGACGTCTTTCGCACATGCCTGCAGTCGACACTCAAACCCTTCCGACATGGATCCGCTGAGTGCCACGGCCAGCGTCATCGCTATCCTTCAGCTCTCAGCCAAAGTCCTTTCCTACTTGAACGACGTCAAGGACGCCTCCAAAGGCCGTGCGCAGTGCGCGATCGAAGCTAGCAATCTACACAACCTCCTGACAAACCTGAGATTTCGACTAGAAGAGGGACATGGCCACCAGCCGTGGTTCAGCGCAGTGCAAGCCCTTGCCGTCGAGAACGGGCCGCTCGACCAGTTCAAGCAAGCGCTGGAAACTCTGCAGGCAAAGATGACAGACGGAGGTCGGCTGAAGAAAGTCAACCAGGCGTTGATATGGAAGTTCAAGAAAGAAGAGGTCGACACCATCTTGGCTCGCATGGAACGACTGAAAACGCTGGTGGAGATCGCGTTACAGATGGATCACTTGTGAGTTTCCGTACTAGCACTACCCAACGACTAAGCTTAGACGCGCAAGAAAACTCTCCCAAGCTATCAAAGACGACACTGGCTCTATTCGCACGCACGTATCGGCTATCGAGTCTGCTGTTAACAAAGTGCAGCAGGTACAAGTCACCGCAACCCAGCGCATTCTTCTAGAATGGATATCGTCGAGCGACTATCCCGCTCAGCAATCGGACATCATAAAGCGCAGGCAGGAAGGGACAGGCCAGTGGTTCCTACATGCACCCGAAGTGGCAAGATGGCTCGGTGACGCCAAGACCACCCTCTTCTGCCCAGGAATCCCGGGTGCTGGCAAGACCATGGTAGCGGCTATTGCAGTCGATCAGCTTCTAGACTTGGCGCAAAACGGCGCATACGGAGTGGCGTACGTTTATTGCAACTACAAATCTCAAGCAGATCAGGACATCGTTAGCATATTAGCAGCCATCCTCAAGCAGCTAGTTCAGAGCCGGCCGTCAGCACTGGGTCCTGTGGAAAGATTACATCAGAAACACGCCGGCCGCGGCACGAAGCCATCGCTCGATGATATATACAGCACTCTTCGAGACGTGCTCACACAGTATCCGTACGTTCATATAGTCGTCGATGCGCTAGACGAGTGTCAGAACGAAACACGCCGGCAGCTATGCACCAAGCTCTTCGATCTACAGAAAGGAGCAGACATGCGATTAATGGTCACCTCGCGTTTTGTGCCAGATGTTGAGGACGCTTTTCGGCTAGCATCGAGACTAGAGGTAGAGGCTAGTGATGAGGACGTCAAGCAGTTCGTAGCTGGCCAAATACACCGGCTGCCCGGATGTGTCCAGCGCAGCGCAGCCCTGCAGAAATTGGTGCAGGAAAGAGTAGTCGAGGCTGTCGGCGGCATGTAAGTCGCTTCTCGTCTTTGCAGCGATACGCACTTACGTACTCGAGGTTTCTTCTTGCTCGTCTACACATCGATTCCCTATCAGACAACACGACAGCAAAAGAAGTCAAATCAACTCTCACTACACTCTCGAAAGGTGCAGCTGCGCTCAATGATGCGTACAGTGAAGCACTAGAGAGGATCGAAGGCCAACGAACTAGCCATTCTAAGCTAGCGAAGAACGTCCTAACGTGGATTACATTTGCGAAGCGACCGCTCACTACTGCTGAGCTATGCTGCGCCCTGGCAGTCGAGCCTGACGAGGTTGAACTCGATCCGGAAAACAAACCCGATGTGGACGACATAGTCTCTGTATGCGCTGGGCTTGTTGTTGTCGATCAGGAGAGCGCTATCATCCGCCTTGTGCACTACACCACGCAAGAATACTTTGAGCGTGTCAGCTCTAGGCTGAACCCAGATGGACAGGTGGAAATAGCCGAGACGTGTCTGACCTACCTATCGTTCAACGTCTTCGAAAGCGGCAGCTGTGCCACTGATGAAGAGTTTGAAGAGAGGCTGAGTCAGCACGAACTCTTGGATTACGCAGCCAAATATGGTGGTGAACATGCAAGATCTGTCGATGCTAAGGTTGCTTACTTAGCTTGCGAGTTAGTTACTCAGAGTGGCAAATTTTCGTGTGCAGCACAGGTACTATTCGCGCCTAGTTACAAGTACAGAGGGTACAGTAAGAATAATCCTGCTGTGACAGGTTTACATTGGATAGCAGGATTTGGATTGTGTAGTGCGGTGAATGAATTTCTGCGCAGAAAAGAAGACGAAACATGTGCAGTGAATGCGACAGACAGTAATGGCGAAGGCTCATTGATGTACGCGGCGAAACATGGACACTGTGCGATGGCTGAATTGCTGTTAGACAAGGGCGCCGAAATCAACGCCCAGGGTGGAGACTTTGGCGACGCACTCCAGGCAGCTTCATATGGAGGCCACGAGGCGGTGGTGAGGCTGCTGCTAGACAAGGGCGCCGAAATCAACGCCCAGGGTAGACGTTATGACAACGCACTCCAGACAGCTTCATATAGAGGCCACGAGGCGGTAGTGAGGCTACTGCTAGACAAGGGCGCCGAGGTCAACGCCCAGGGTGGAGACTACGGCAACGCACTCCAGGCGGCTTCATATAGAGGCTACGAGGCGGTGGTGAGGCTACTACTAGACAAGGGCGCCGAAATCAACGCCCAGGGTGGATACTTTGGCAACGCACTCCAGGCGGCTTCATATAGAGGCCACGAGGCGGTGGTGAGGCTGCTGCTAGACAAGGGCGCCGAGGTCAACGCCCAGGGCGGATACTTCGGCAACGCACTTCATGCCGCTGCATATGCGGGCAAAAATGAAGTGCTTGAGCTTCTAATCAGGAACTATAGCATCATGCAGCTTCAAGATCCATATGACCGGACGCTTCTCTGGTGGGCTGCGGCTGGCGGCCAGACAACTACCGTTCAAGTACTTATCAGCCGGTACAACTACGACTCCCGAACTGCCGACAAATTTGGGCGGACGCCTCTTTGGATAGCCACGAAGAAGGGGCATCATGCGGTATCAGAACTCCTGTCTGAAGAGTGTGGACCGACTGATCCTGGACAAACTGCGTCACCGGATCATAGGGATGATTCAGGGTCTATGCAATGCGACGTCTGTACTTCGAGTATCAGGGCAACTGATTTTCACTACCACTGCCAAGATTGCTCTAATGGAGATTGGGATGTGTGCGAAGACTGTAGGGTGAGAGGTGCCTTTTGTGCGGAAGAGACGCATATTTTGGTCAAGCGTACAAGAAAAGACCGAAATTGTGTTGAGATGACGTGCTGATAACGTCCAAACTAAGATCACTCTTTAGAGCTGCACTGAGCGCTGCTATAGCCGCTATAAGGATAGCCCAGCGTAGACAGCGATTTGGGTGGTCTATTTGTTTCGTGTCGAGGGCAGATGACGCAGAAAGCTCATGAAAGAAGGAATTTTGAATAGGAGAACAAAAGCTACAGAATCAATGTGCATTGAGCTTGTCTATGTACAGGCGCAATGTGAGGAGTCCGGAGGTCCAGATGAAGAAGTATCTTGCCACGCAGTGACTGGTCTTACGTGACCTGAGTTTTGGCTGGCTGTAGCCACAGTCCGTTTGAGCCACAGGCTTAGCATACTTGATGACGCCCTGAAAATTACGTCGCCGCAGACTGTATTGAGCTAGCCATATACGGAAGGCGTTCCCGGAAAAGTACCGAGCGGGGTAGCGATCACGCATAGATCTGAACACCGCATCAGTCTTAGAGCTAGCATCAACTTTTCAACCTTGCCAAAGGCTTGCTAGGCTTATATAAGGCTACCTATGAGTGTAGGAAGTGACGGGGCTCTAGCTTAGATGATCTAATAGCGATAACTAGCATAATTTGCGCTTTGATAAAGACCCTTCCCGGGTAAGCGCGTATAGGATAACGACTACGTAATTTTTGTATAGAGAAGGCGCTATATCTATAGAAAAGGTTATAAAGCACAACTCTTATACAAATCAGCACAATAACAAAGGGTGTGTGTGTGTGTGTGGAAGTACAGATCATTAAAGTCGAAGTACCTCTTAAAATTTACGGCACGGGGGTGTTTGCGTGACCCATGGATGCACGTTACGCAACGTCTGAATCTTGCCATTGCATACGCTGGCCTGTGCCCAAGTAAACAAACACCACCCCAAATAAACATTTTATATAGGGTATGATATCAGCAAGCATGGTTATGCACTCTACTTTCTTCATAGTCACGCTGTCGCCAGAACTGTGGATTTCTCCTTTAGCATCTTGTTGTTGTTGTTGTCGCCACCAAGCTTTACCAATTGGGAGCTCTCTGCGCTACATTGTGAGGCACCACCAATACAACGTCGTAGCTGGAATCACTACAACGGCAGTATACATTCTGTGAATGATGGAGGATGCTTGACAAGTTGGGGCATTTTCACCACTCACTTTTAACGGTGGAGAAGTACATAGTGCGAGGTTGTGATGAAGCAAGTTATACGGTTGTACTAACTCTTGAGAACCAGAAAGAAATAGAGAAAAGAAAAAAAAAGAAACACGCGATTATTTTGACCAAATCTAGTCACAACATTCCGATCATTTCCATATTCTACTCTTTCGCCGTCAAACAGGGTTTGAGTTTTATTTGTTGAAGAAGCTTCCTCGAGAAACCTCTCTGTACAAAAGAAGATCCATTGCCAAATTCTGATAGAGGTTGTGGTTTTCAACAAGAGCCAACTTTTATCCGCCCAATTCAGTTCACGAAGAGATACAAACACGCATCACCAAGTAGTGGTACGTACTTCCAATCAAATAATTGTAGCTAGAATGATTTGATTTCGCCTATTTACACAAATTTTGATGAAGAAGAATGTACAATTTAGGAAAAAAGAAACAATCATACACTGCAAGTTCCGGCCCAGCTGACGCCTCATACTGAAAAGGTATCGTGCAGGTAACAAAAAGAAACAACACTCAAACACATGATGAAAGACGCAAAAAAAAAAGTATCCGCAAAACCTTTAAAAACACTCTTTCTCTCTTATCGTAACCATTTTTATCGTAAACCTTATCATCGTACAAAGGTTATTACAATTGTGTCACCGTCTAAGCGGCGACAGTAGTCAGCTTCTCCTTAAGGCCGTGGTCAGCTTTCAGCATAGCCTCGTAGGGTGGACGCTGAACGATGCCACCAGTGACGGGCAGCGAAGAGCCATATCCGTTGAGGAAAGAATCAACATCGCGAGCGCATTGGCGGCCCTCGTTGATACCCCAAACGATGAGTGACTGGCCGCGACGGCAGTCACCAGCAGCAAAGACGCCAGGAAGGTTGGTGTTGTAGTGGCCCGGGGGTGTCTTGATGTTCTTGCGGCCATCAAGCTCGACAATGTCGCTCATGACGCGTTGCTCAGGGCCGAGGAAACCCATAGAGAGCAAAACGAGGTCTGCAGGGAAGAACTGCTCACTGCCATCAACTTGCTTCATGTCCCAACCACCGGAAGAGGACTTGGTCCACGCAACGCGGATAGTGTTGATACCCTTGACCTTGCCATTGCCGTCGTCAACGAATTCCTTGGACATGACACAGTATTCACGAGGATCCTTGCCCATGTGAGTCTTGACTTCATTGTGGCCATAATCAGTACGGAAGATACGGGGCCACTGAGGCCATGGGTTGTCGCGGGCACGCTCTGGTGGGGGCTGAGGCAGCAGCTCGAAGTTTACGACGGACTTGGCGCCATGACGAACAGAAGTACCAATGCAGTCGTTACCGGTATCACCACCACCAATGACAACAACATGCTTGTCCTTGGCCGAGATGTAGGCGTTATCAGCCAGCTCAGAGTCGAGGAGAGACTTGGTGTTCTTGTGCAAGAACTGCATAGCGTAGTGAATGCCTTCCAAATTGCGGTTGGGGATAGGCAGGTCGCGAGCTACAGTGGCACCTGTGGCAAATACGACTGCGTCAAAGTCTTTGCGGAGGCTCTCAAGGTTGGGATGGCCTTCCTCTCCAATGGTAACACCGGTCTTGAAATTGACACCCTCAGCAGCCATGAAGTCAACACGGCGCTGCACGACCTTCTTATCGAGCTTCATGTTGGGAATACCGTACATGAGGAGACCGCCAACACGGTCAGCACGCTCAAAGACTGTGACAGTGTGGCCAGCCTTGTTGAGCTGGTCGGCACAAGCAAGACCAGCAGGTCCGGAACCGATGATAGCAACAGTCTTGCCGGAGCGGACCTGAGGTGGTGTAGGAACCATCCAGCCCTTCTCGAAGCCACGATCAATGATAGCGCACTCGATCGACTTGATGCCTACAGGGTCTTCATTTATGCCAAGAACACACGCTCCCTCGCAGGGTGCGGGACAAACACGACCAGTGAACTCGGGGAAGTTGTTGGTCATGAGTAGACGGTTGAGAGCGTCACGCCATTGAGATCTAAAGACCAATTCGTTCCATTTAGGAATGATATTAGAGATCGGACAGCCGGTATCAGACTGGCAGAAAGGAACACCACAATCCATGCAGCGGGCAGTCTGGTACTTGAGTTCGTCCTCGTTGAGACGCTGGCTCAGCTCGGCCCAATCACGAGTTCGGGTCTTGGGGTTGCGGTACTTCTCGGAGCGACGCTGGTATTTCATGAAGCCGCGTGTCTTGTCGAGGACAAGAGCCTTCTTCTTTTCGGCCTTTGCGTCAGTCACACTCTCCTCAATGTCAAGCAAACCACTGCTCTTCTTCTTCTCCTTGGCCTCAGCCTCAGCCTCCTTGGTGCGAGACTCTTCGTGAGCGTTGCGGACGGCATTGCCGGCGAGCAGAGGAAGAGGATACTTGTTCCTCTTCTCCTCAGCAAGCCTGGCCTTCTCCTCCAAGAGAACACGCTTGTAGTCAATAGGCATGACTTTGACAAAGCGTGATAGAGCGCGAGTGAAGTCGAGGAGAATACGTGCGGCAAGCTCAGATCCGGTGTAGTGGTGATGGTCCTCAATAAGGCCTCGTACAAACGCAATCTCCTCTGGCTCCTCAACTGGAGACAGCTCGACCATCTCTTGATTGACCTTCTGCTCAAAGTCCTTGTGGATATCCAGAACGTAAGCAATACCACCAGACATACCAGCAGCGAAGTTACGGCCTGTTGATCCGAGAACAAGGACACGACCACCAGTCATGTACTCGCAGCCGTGATCACCAACACCTTCAACGACGGCTGTGGCACCCGAGTTTCGAACGCAGAAGCGCTCGGCGGCGATACCACGGAAGAAGCAAGTACCTTGAGTGGCACCGTACAAGCAGACGTTACCGATCAGAACATTCTCCTCGGCACGGTAGACGGCATTGCGAGGGGGGTAGATAATCAAACGGCCTCCAGACAAACCCTTGCCGACGTAGTCATTAGCGTCACCCTCGAGTTCAAGAGTGACACCAGGTGCAAGATAAGCACCAAAAGACTGCCCAGCAGATCCACGAATATTGACGTGAATAGTATCTGAGGGCAGACCAGCCTCACCATAGCGCTTGCTGATATGGTAGGAGAGGGTAGCACCAAGAGCACGGTCAGTGTTGACGACATCGCACTCAATACGGGCTGGGAGACCCTTCTCCAGAGCAAGTTCGGACTCAGCAATGAGCTTGTTGTCTAGGCGAACGTGTAGTCGGTGGTCCTGTTTGCGGACGTTGAATGTAGCAACACCAGGGCGGAGTGTGTGTGCAGGAGTTAGGATGAGCGAAAGATCAATGTTCTCAGTCTTAGCAGTGCGGAGATC